TTGCGCAGAGAGAAACAGAGATCCTAAGGGATAACGGAAACAGAAACAAAAGCAAATATACAGTAAAGCAGTAAAATGCATGGATGCAGCAATACAAGCGAGGCAAGGGAGTCCCACTTAACCTCGAACCTAGAAAACAACAGGCAAAAGTGAACAGAATTCACTTTCAACCTAACAGGTTAAACAGCAAGCAATACAGTCAGGGAAATTCACACAATACATCAAGAATTATAAACAGCAAAAATAAACAGCCAACAGCAGCTCTGGACCAACATCTGTCTTCAAGTCATCTTCAACTATCTACCAGCTTCAAGCAAGCCTCATTCTTTATCTTCACAGCCTTCAAGCAAGGTCTTTGTCTTCAACCCTTCAATGGCTTTTCTTCAAGTCCCAATCTCCCAGCTGAGGAACCAATCACAAGAATGAACTGGGGTGTTAAGCAATTAGTTGACCACCAAAGGTGGCAAACAGACCGCTAACAACACATAGAATATTTCTCTCAAGAGTTCTATCTCTTAGACACTATCACCAAGCCTTCCAAAGGAAGGGGGTGAATGTCTTAGAGAGACTCTGCATCATAGAGAGGGATGGAGGCAAACAAGACCTTCCATGTTTGTGAATCAAGTTGTTATTCTAGAGCTCTGCCTAACTCCTAGATCCTATAACTTTCAACAGCTTCCAGCAAGAGATACTCCTCCTCAACTTTGGAAATTAGTCTTCATTCTCTTAATCTTCAATGGGCCTCATCAACACAGTCTTCAGCTCAAACCCAAGCCCCAAGCAGGCCCAATACCCCACACAGTCAAATAATAACCCTAGAGAGGGCACACCACACAATCAATCAGGCACAAGCAATATACTAATAGTAATAGTAGAATAGGGGAAGCCTAACATTTATTCACAAGGGTCTAGTACACTTACCCATAATATCCCTATAGTCCCATACCCAAAAAATCAAACTAAAACTCCTAAAAGAAATGATTTATTTCACCTATGTCACACCTAAACCCTAGTTTTGATTCTCCTAATCACACCTAAACAAACCATCTAAAATTAAGTCCTAAAATCATGAATTAAATTTCATATGAAGATTAAAGTCCTAAGTGAAGTACTCTAAAAAGAATGAGTCCAAAATGTAAAAGGGTCTAGCTAAACTAAAATCAACAATATCAAGTGCTAAACTAAACATCATTTAAACCTATTTAAAAGAAAAATATACTAAAAATGCAAAAATAAAATGAAATGCTAATTTTATTATATGAAAATTTTCTTATCAAAAATATGAAAAAGATGCAAAAACAACCATTTAAAAATATGCAATTTCCAATTTGTTATGATTTTTCAAAGAATTAACAAAAATAAAAGAAATTAAAATGAGTTATATGAGGTTAGGGGTGCAATCAGTATTTATTTCAGTTAAAAAAAAGATGATGGGCCCAGACTGGGGGGCGCGCATAGCAAGGCGCGTCTGGGCCCAGCTAATCAGAAAACACAAAAATAAAATAATAAAGGAAAACGGTGTGAAAAGTAAAAAAAATAGTTCACTTGAGATTGGGCCTTGAAAATAGGGGTGTGTATAGCAAGTTTCACTCAGGCCCAGGCGTTTCTATTAATGAAACGCCGCGTTTTCAGCATAACGTTTCCCTCCGTTTTTTCCAATTGAATGGTAGCCCTTGGATTGGGTTATGAGTCAAAGTCCATTGCATGATCCAACGACCCTCCTTCATCTCCTACCTCTAGAAACCCTAAGTTCAGCAAAAACCTCTCCCATGCACGAATCTTCCAGCCTTCTGTTCTCCCTCGTCTCTCAACTAAATCCCACGATGCAAAAAGAAAAAATGGCCTACACTTTCCCATGAACAAGACCATGCTTTCAGTTTCTCCTAAAACTCACTCCAGTGTAAAACCCGATAGGTAGAAAGATCACTGCTCACCAACATTCACTGACATGCACTATGTTATTCTTGACAATTCTTGGTACTAGCATGCTCTACACATTGCACTGGTTATTACATGCTATCTAGATAAGATTAATGCTCACTAATCTAGGTGTTCTAAGGCTCAACAGTTTTGGTACTTCAATGGTGAACTCCATGAAATGCCTTCAAATCCATCAAAAACAATCATCTAACCATTCCTAACCATTCTAACCTAATGATTCTCTATTATCCTAACTAATTCTAGCCAATTCGATGAAAACACTAACCTGGTTTAATCTTGAAAACAGAGGCAGAAATCCTTGGATCCAAAGCTTGCAATGCTTTGGACTTGCTCCACAGACTTGATTCTTGGTTCTGTATGCAATAGCACCTGCTCAAATGCCCTTGATTTTGCAATCACAATCTTCTTGCACTTTGGATGATACACTTGGATAGCACGAATTCTACTTCACTCAAGCCATATCTTGATGGAAACTTGATCTATGATGGATGTAGATGATGATAGGATCAAGAATTGTGGAGAATGATGAAGATTTGATAGAGTTCTTATGTGATTTGCAAAGTGGAAGAATGAGATGTAACTATGTGTTTTGATCAAAATGAATCACCAACCCCTGAATGAAGCCACTCTACTCAATATATAGACACTCATAGAACACTCTAGAACTTGGTAGAAACTTCTTGTGCACAATTTCCTTGAATTTTGGATATGTTACTTCCTTTGTAAGCCAACTAGCATAACTTCCAAACTTTGAACCAAACTCAAAAATCTACTTTTGCCAATGTTCTTAAAACATTTTTTCCAATCAAAATGACCTATAATTTCATCCCATTTGGCCATGGTATGAAAAATCTCAATTTTAGGTCACTTTTATTCATTAAATTCATCTTTTAAATGACCAAATTTGGAACCTTGAGCTATGAGCATTCCCAAACTTTCATGATCACTTTTCTAGACTCAAAATGTCATTTGGAACAACTTTGATGTTGTGAAGTTTTTCATTTGAAGCTTCCTTGTATGAGTTTTGGGCATAGGCTTGAAATGACCTGTAATTCTCAAATGACCAAAATACCCTTTGCTTGCCAAGGCCATAAGTAGAGTTCCACAAATCAGATGAAGGCATACCATACCTTTCTAGAAATATAAGACAATTAGGAACAACTCTTATGTTTACCAGAAATTCATTTGAAATCTCCTTGAGAGGTAAAAGTTGCTTGGAAGACAAGTAACTTTCACAGACAAAATTTCAGATACCTCAGATGACCTGTAACTTGCAAGGACCATAACTTGAGTTCTATAAATCTCCTTGATGTCTTCCACCACTCAAATTAAAGGTCTTGAGATCCTCTACAAGTTTCATGTTGGCCAAGGATCCATTTGAAGCTTTCATTTTGAATTATATTGCTGGGAAGTTTGCCCTAAATCAGGGGATTTTACACAGAAACCCTAATTTAGAAACTCCTCTTCTTCTTGATTTCTCTTGATTTCTTCTTGGCACAACACCACATCCTTATCTACATGTCCACTGATGAATCCCACATCTCTCAAATAGACCTTAATGCCTTTCAATCAATCATTTGACCTAGGGTTGACCTAGGGTTGACCCAGATGAAACCCTAGTTGACTGCCTTCAACTGCAACTCTTGTGATCATATCCATGACTTGTCTCACTTTCAAAATGACTCCCCATGTCTTCCATGATGTCTATATACCCTACATACTCAGTTCACAGCTCACAACTTCTTTGATGGTCTTCAAATACCCTCAGATAGGAGATAGATCCACTGCTTGGTCCAATGACCTCTCTGGGTTTCAATTTCTTCCTGATGACTTGGATAAGATTGAATTTGAACAACAACCTCTTGATAGGCTCATAGAGATAAGAATAGTGCTTGGTCCCTTGTTGGATGACTTGCTATGCTATATTATGCAGATGATTAGACTATGTACATGACTCTATATGCAAATGCTAATGCAATTGAAACATAAACCAAGTGAAGTAGGTTGAGCAAATTTTAGGGTGCAACACCTGTTTCCTCTCTTCATGCGTTTCTTCTTGCTCTTCCTCAATCTTCTCGTCAACAATGGGTTCTAGGGTTATTGGTTTATAGATTGTGAACGCTGAAGGTGAATCCTTGTTCATTGCTTCTCTTATATTCCTACTTGTACCTTCCAATCGAGCGTTAGGTGATGGTGTAAAAACACACACCATCACTGGAGGTGTCGTAGCAACCACTTTCTTTGGCCTGCCACGACCACGTCCCATTTGCCCTAAAACAGTCTGACCTAGCAACTCTTCATACAACTAAACCTTTCTGATTTGGTCCCTAATCCTAGGATTAGTACTTTAAACCATCCTCGGAACGATTCAACTGCTTTAAAGTGGCGATAAATCTCTGCTGCTTTGCTTTCGTTGGAAACCTAGCTCACCGGAAATCGCCAGACAGAAAGAGAATATAAAGATATAATAGACTAAATGTTTAATATTTAATAAAGTAATTTATTATTATTATTATTATTATTATTATTATTATTATTATTATTATTATTATTATTATTATTATTATTATTATTATTATTATTATTATTATTATATTTTTTATTTATTTTAAATTGTTGATTTATAAATATCTATAACCTTTTTTTTTTGTATAAGCAACAATTTCAATAATAGGCATACTATGAGTACACCAATCCTTCTGCATCTATTTAACTTTCTTTTTTTATTTATCATTTTTATCTAATCCAAAAGAACAACTATTAAATAAAATATTAACAAAACCAAGTATAGAATAAACAACCATGACCATGTATGATATTATATGCAATGAAAAACGTTTTTCTTAACATTAAAACCAGCCAAAGAAACCTATGTGAGTTGCAACATAGTTTTTAATATTAATATGTTTTGCATTCTATCCATAATGAATGAAAACTATGTTACAAAACTCAAGTAAACTCAATTTAGTATCACACTATAAAACCAAATCCTTAGATGAACGTTTTCATCAAACAAAAATAAACAAACATATAATATAAGACATTCTTATTTTCCAATCATGGCAAAATCTAGTAGCTGTATTGTTCTGTTGGCTTTCTTTTTCACTACAGCACTAGCTACACTAACCATGCATGAACAAAGGTTTTTGTCTGAATGTGCAAACACAGTTGGAGAATATTGTGGGAACCAATTATATAACAAGCTCTTCACTCATAACAAAACATCAATTACTAGAGATTGTTGTTACAAGATTCTTCAAACAGGTTATTCTTGTCACATCAAAATGAGTGTGTTTATTCTAGAAAGCAATCCAGATTTGAAACACGCAGATCGGGTTCCGTATCTTACCAAAAGTGACGGCCTTTTTCAGAAGTGTGACCGTGCTACCGAGCCTGAGAACTCCAAGTTTCTGGCTACATGCGTAGAGCAAGTAGGATCTGATTGCGGAGAAGAAGTTTACAACAAACTGGTTCATGATAAGGATGTGAGTCAACAATGTTGCAAAAAGCTTGTTCAATCAGGCCAGAAATGTCATACCAGTATGGCGAAGGCTTTGATTCGTACACCGCCTATGAAGAATGTTGACGCAATTCAGTTTCTAAAGAAGAACAAGAAAATATACAGTGATTGTAAACGTGCGGAATGAAAAATGTTTATGTGAAGTGAAATAAACTATCTTGTAGTTGAAAATTTTGTTCATTGAAGAACATGAGAAATATATATATGCATACTACTTACATCTTTCTAGTTGTTTTGTTTAACAATGAAAAACTTTCTGCAAATCGTTATCGCGCCAAATTGAAAAGGACCAAATTGAAAAGGACGATAGTTTTTTAACATGCTTAAACTACACACCAGATAAATCTACATTTGGCAAAACTGAATAAACTATTCATATTATGATCATTAGGAGAAATCATTGTTCTAACTACACTTGATTTTATCCTTACTCGAAATCAAAGATGGGTTGAATCTTCATTTTTGTTCTAAACTTCCTAACTATATATACTCAGTAGTTATGAGTGTAAGTATAACCCATGGAACTCATTCGAGGCCGAATATTGCGATGTTCGTACAATGAGCCTCCATATTCAACAGGCGTGATGATTACAGATTCCTTCTTGCTCTCCTGTTCCTGCACTGCTCCAAAAACTACCTCGTTTGTTGTCTCATTGCTCTGCTCGTAGAAAGTGTGAGGGGCCGATGATTGGTACTGATGGCGGAGATGATGCTTTTGTTGCTGTAGTTGTTGCTGCTGAGGCTGATGAGGCTGAGGCTGATGCTGATCTCCATCCCACCCGCTATAGAATGCTTTACTTTGCCGCAATTGTTTAATTTTTTCTGCGTCTTTCGACATGAAAGGATAGGTTTTTTGAGGCGTTGGGGCCCTGGTGTCAATAGACGGTGGTTCATCTTCGCGAGGAATCATGAAACTTTCTTGTGCTGGCCAATCATTCACTAGCTTTTGAGGTTGTTGGATCAGTGTTTCTCTATGGTATTGTGAGTTCTGTGGTCTTCTTCTGAAAACAGGAAACAATCCTCCCATTATCTCCACCATTGACGCACCAGCATTGGAAAGAAGCTTCCCCAGAGATCCAAAGAAACCTTCTTCCTGCTTTTCGGGTTCATATTCTGATGAAATTAAAGGGGGCCGGATGGATTTCAAGGGCTTTTGATACGTACTTGGAGAAACAGAAGGCATTACTGTTACCGGAACCTGAGCCTACAAAAAGCATGAGATGTTTATTGATTGTAATAAGCACCAACACATTCATGCACATGGACACCAAACATGCCATTGATGCATCGCGTCAGTAATTAAGAGAAAATAGAATAAGTGAATGTAACCATGTGTGCTGGTGTCAGACACTGACGTGGATCGGACACCGAACACGCCACTGATACATTGACGTCAGTAATTATGAAAAAATAGAATAATTGAATGTAACCATGTGTGTTGGTGTAAGACAGTGACATGTGCCAGACACCCTTCGATCTGAAATGTCGGTGTTACATAGCTTAGCAATAGAGAAACATATTCACACATGACCAACTGTGTTATAACAGATGTATACCATTCATGTTTAATATAACGCATTTGAAGGAAGAAGACAAGGCTAAGCACTTACATCCTGAGATTCTACAATTGTACCGAGCCTACATTGCAGCAGTGCCAGCATATAGCCAAAGAAGCCAGCCCCAACAAGCATTGCAATTCCTGTGATTGAAGGAAATCAGTCTAAATTTCTGATCAAGACTCTCGACAAAACTTATCCACAAAAGTTTGGGTGATTTTAGTTTACCAAGAGGGAAATCACTTCCATATCTATACGCACAATCATCAAAGTGGAGTTGGATCTCCCTGATAGCTTGGTTTCCTCTGTCTACAACGAGTAGTGAACAACTACTTCCAACATAAACCACATCGAAGTCGTCAGAAAATTTAGCTTCTTCACTTGGTCCATCGACATGTCCCCCACCACGGCTCCATTTTCCTCCAGCAATTGTTGTGACCCCTAATTTTACACATTAATAATAAAGATTAGCGGCTTCATTGGGACAAATTTAGTAGTTTTATAATAAATATAGCAATTATGTACCAAGCATGGAGAAGACAATTGAACTGCAACTATCTAGAGGGAGAGAAACAAGAAAAATTATTGTACTACCTGAATCGCTAATTTTCCTAATTGCCATATTTGTAGTATCCGCAACATAAATATTTCCTCGGTCATCAATAGTTATCCCTTTCGGGTGGTTCATGCGAGCCTCCCTGAGCTTCCCATCAACATGCCCAGAGTATCCTTCAGCTGATCCAGCCACCAGCTTTGGTCTGCTATCTGCAGAATTTCAATGAATGTTATATTTCCAAATGAATAAATATACACATGCTCGGACTCAAACCGTCATGGAACAATCATACTACACGCAGAAGCCCCACAGACACATATCAAAATGCATTGCAATGTTATGATGAATCTTCATTAAGGTCAAAATCATGAACTAAATTGACATGACATCATGTGACATACTCTCCAATTAAGTTACTCAAATCTTTTTTTTTATGATGCTCAAATTCTATATAAACACTAATGACTAGTAATCGTGATAAACTCGAGATATCAAAAATTTTCACATTGAAGACTTACACAAAGAGAGTGATGAGGAGATTCTATAAAGGTTACTATTAGCAGAATCTAGAATGAGAAGCTCCCCATTATGCAAAACCTCAACAGCATAAGGCTCAATTCCAAGCTTGCTTCCATCAAACACAGTCTCCACATTGTAACCACTCTCAAATTTCATCATTGACTTGCTCAAAACCCCTTCAATCCAAAACACAAAAACAACAAAATTACATTAAAAAAATTAATATTAATAATAAAAATAGAAAAGAAAAAAAGTGGTTTATTAATTATGTTCAGCGTGCAAAGATCCACATTCTGTACCAGGTTTGGTGGTGGCTTTAAGAGACCAAACCCATTTGGTAAAAGCAGGGACAGCATTGGAGACAAACCCGGAAAAAAGTTCTGAAATGAAGAAGAAGCAAATGAGGAAAAGATGAGAACTATGAAGAAACGGAAGCAAAAGAATAAATGAAAAATTCATGGGTTGGTGGTAGGTACTTACTTGCAGGTGAAGATGTAGATGGTGGAGCTGAGACTGAGAGTGATCCAGAGAGAATGTGAAGAATGAGAGATGTTAACAGAAACTGCTTAGTCATTTTGGTGAAGAAGATGGAGAAGAAGTTGTAGTGGAGGTGGAAATAGCAACAATGGGGGTAATCGGTGAAAGTGAAACCCTAATTCATGTTGAAAAAGTGAAGGGAAATGGAAATAATGTTGAGTTGTTTTGGGCTTTTAGCAGAAAAGATGGGAAAAGCAGTGGAGTTTTGAGTGTGAAAAGGTGAGAGAGAGAGAGACAGAGAGAGAGAGACCAATGTTTTTAGAGGGTTTTGTTGTCTTGGTTAATTTTATTGCCATAATTAATCTCTTAAATTTGATTTGAGATAAAGTTTACTTTAGTGCTTATAAAAAGGTAAGCTTTTAATTTTTGAGAATAGGAATCAACTTTTGTTACTTTGTATATGTAAATATAAATTCGAGGTAAACAATCACTATCTCACTCTTTAAGATTATTCATATTTAGGGATGTAAATGAATATTCATTGAGACGGATATTATCATATTTATATCTGTTTTGTTGGATAAATATGATATTATGTTCATGCGGGTATCTGTTAAGCGGATAATCCGCAGATTTTACAAGATCAGCGAATATTTACAAATATTCATGGATAATTTTATTTTTATAAAAAAAAAAATTAAAATTCTGTTAACTTCTTTTAAAGACACAAAAAGTTATTATCACATAACATCTATACAATTCGCTCTTAATTTAACAATAAAATTTAATCACATTAATTTTTTTCTTATTCACCAAAACATAATTAGATCTAAACATAATATTCATACATTTATGATGGAATAGTAGACAACAGAGGAGTAGAAACGGAGACACTAATTCGACAGAGGAATGACAACATTGATTGGTTGGATTGTGAAATTGTTGAAGTAAAATATAAAGTATTGAAGAGTTTAAATATGAAATGTGTAACACCATTCTACCCAACAAACATTCACGATAATTAAAATAATATATCAGAGTACATCACCACAAGGGTGCCACATTTCGTAACTCAAAAAGAATATCTTAAAAACAAGAAACTCATAGCCTCTTGATGTCAACAAGGAATTAAAACATAAAGGTGCGATTCAAACGTCCCGACCCGATGTTACATATCAGAGCAAGACCCTCTAATCAGTGAAAATAACCAAAATACTTCAAGGCTAATCTTCACGCGTCAAGAGAGTTAATTCTGATCACATGCATGTTACCTGTGTGGAGCCAACATTCAAACAGGCAGGGTGAGTAATCACAAATCATTATACAAGATATAAGGAAAAGATATAGTAGTCACGAATATCATCATTGATCATTCACCACATCATCATACTATCAACTCACAATCATCACTAAAATATCAATCAATTTACAACATCATCAACACGTCATTTATTCAATCATTATGCAATGTTACATAGTATGGAATGCAACAACATAGACTTATGCATGTGGTACCAATTCATCATGTTGATGGACACTAGGTCATCACCCTCCAAAGATCCCCCACCAATAGGATTGATTCTACACAAGAACCAGAGCACATCATAAAACACCTCAATCTACACAATAAGATTGAAGCCAACACTGGACAGAAGTCCTAACATCATCACTGGACAAAAGTCCTAACATCATCATTAGACCAAAGTCCTAATATGCTATGAATGCATGATACAAAATGTGATAATCAATCATCACCACGGTTCGTCAAAGTTGCATCATCATTCATGAAAATTCATCAATACATCATAGTATTACATCATTATTATACGTCACAATTCTTCATATTACATCACAAATCATCATGTTATAGTCATTAAAATATAGCACATCAAGTACTCAAGGCATACAGATAACAAGACACAAGACAACACAAAAAGTATAATAAAAAAAAATTGTTCATGCTCGCCTAGCGCTCGCCTGGCGAAGCAAGGTCGAAATCCCCCCCCATACAATTTCCAG